ATACAATATGTCGTACGGTTTGTGGGACGTTACAATTTTCACATTGGACTGGAGGTTCTTTCTTCATGAGATGCTGGTGTGTTAGACGAGTGTGTCCTATTTTGAGTCGTGTGAGGAGAATTTGGTTCTTGCGGCTCGTACCACTGTAGAGGTGGTTTTCTAAGGTGGGATTGGTTCCGTACAGTTTGTTGTGACTGTGTAGGCGCCATCTATCCTTCCATTTATCTTTAGTTATTCGTTTCAACTCGTTATATAGATCTGAATGTGGTATGTTATTCACTTGTATAGATGTTGAGTTTTCTGGAACGGTGCGGGCTGCGGTATCTGCTAGCTCATTACCTTGTATGCCGCAATGCGATGGTACCCAGACAATCTCAACTACTCTTTCTCTTCGTTGAATTTTCTGTCGCACGTTTGATATTTTCTTGAGGATTGGATGTTTAGGATATAGTTGTTTTATGCCTTCTATTGCACTCAGTGGATCCGTGAAAATGACTGTGCTACCATTGAGGTCTTCCGCAACGCTTAAAGCTTGTTTAATCGCGAGAACTTCCCCTGTGTAAATACTGCAACTTTTTGGTAGTGTATAGCAGTAGCTATTATTATTGATGATAACTGCAGCACCAACGTGTTCTTGTGTTTTTGAGGCATCAGTGTATATATGGTTGTAACCGGTGTACTTGTGGGATAGCTCGTTGAAAGCGCTTCGGATCATTCAAGGAATATTCAAATGTGAATATTCTGGTAATATTCCAAAATGAATATACAGGGAATATTCCAGAAGGAATACTCTGAAGTGAATATTCCTAGAATATTCCAGTTGGATAGTGCAGGGAATATTTAGGTATGAATATTCCAGGAATATTCCCAATTGAATATTCTCTTCCTGTATAATAATGGAATATTTCAATAATATTCCCATGTGTTTCAATGAAATTGTAAAGTATGAAAATTAACTAATCACAATTTTATAGATGTGAGTATTGAACATTGATTTTGAAATCTGTGGTAGAAGTCCATCATATTTCAAAGTGAAGTGGTTATGTTACCAGGGATCAAAAACAAAAAGTCGTCTCCACAATTTTGATAGTGATCAAAGTACTCAATCAGATCATCGTACATGTTAAGAGCCCATATGGAACTGGAAGTGTTTATGCTTTCCTTCTGAACAACGCAATTCAATAAATTGTTATGTACATTATTATTCAACTTGATTACTGGCCAAGTGGTTAAGGCGTTGATCTGACAGTCTGAAAGTCCCGAGTTCGAGCCCATCTTGGGTCAGCTTTTTTTAATTATGGATATGTATTACGGAATATTCCCGGAATATTCATTTATTTATATTCTTGTATTATTCCAGGAATATTCCGAATATCACCTAAATATTCCTAGAATATCATAGGTACATTCTGAATATATAGGGAATATTCCTTATGTAATATTCTGGGAATATACAAAATTTTCCCCACCAGCACATTCAGGGAATATTCCATAGTTGATATGTTTATCCCTGGCATGTTCATGAATATTCGCAATATCCATAAAGAATATTCTATGAATATTCATGGAATATCTGGTGCGGTCTGGGGAGGAATATTGATTGTCCAAGAAGGGGGTGTCTTGTTATTGATGGGATAGGTGGAATCAAAATTGGGGGTACTGGATATTTTTTGAATTCGTTTGTAGAAGGGTGGTGTGATGTTGTTATTTAGGTTGTAGATTGTATGGAATCTGTTAGAGAATGTGTTTTGGAATGTTGGATTGTCCTTGTGTTAATATTGTAGTCACCGAACTTTCGTACTTTGATCGGACTGAAAGTGCTGATCGATAAATTAAAAAGAAAAATTCATGTTGGATGGACTGAGAATACTGGAAGAATGTATCATGTACTTGCGAACGTGACATCGGTGATCGGAATAAACCAACTTTTCCGGTAACTGTGTTTATTCAATCTACCCGCAACAATCAACATTTCACCAATCTACTCTTTGAAATGAATTTGAAATTTTTGTTGTCATACTTGTCAATTTTGTAGCAGGAGAAATATGCGTGACATTGACCAAAGGCTTAGGGATTAGGAAATGTGTTTGGCTCACCCCAGAATTGAGTTGTATCGTCATTAAAGATACAATGGTACATTGAATCTCATCGAATGCCTCAAAATATCATTCATTATTTGATGAACTTATTTCTTCAATTGCTATACCACAAAATTACTTTTGTTTCACTGTGTTCGATGATTCAATGGGGTGGGTACTTTGTATGTCAAAAATTTTATTTCCGTATCTGATATCACATTGATTTCATTGTGTTATCATTCCACAAAATCTCATCTCTCGTGAAATTTCAAATTTCGAGAGATGATAGATCTGTATTATAGATGAGCAACGGAAAATGAGGAAATCAGATGGCTATGTACAAGGCGAATGAATAAAACATTTCGCTGTTATCTGTTACAGCCGTAAAAAAAGTATAATATAAATAAGTCGTAAGGAATGCTGATATTTCACTAGCATGATTTGCAGAATTCTCGTGGAAAATGATTGTTATTCCGTGCTTGGTGAACAATATATTCTTAATATTGAAACTACCGCTTTCGTGAGGGTTTATCTATTTTTCATCACATGTGAGACATCATACCTGTGAAAGACCCTTTAGCTGTCATTTGAAAGATATTTGGATGTGGACTTTCAACTAGAATCAAGATGTCATCAATTTATGCTGGCTTTTGATACATATCTGTCACCCCTAGTATAAATGATCAGAAATCTGTCTGAAGTTCGTGTACCTTCCCAATCAAAGGCCCCACGTTCTTGTTCAGTAAACTAATTATTGAAACCAGCCCTACTACCAAATGTGACATAATTACCTAACTGAGATCCGAAATACATAAAAAAAAGTTCAGTGGAAGTAACTATAATTTATTTGGTTTCGAATAACGCCTATGGTATCCACCATAATCTAGAATTCCAAATCACAAAACAATTTTTTCTGAATTGAATGAGAAATTCACATCAGTATGCACCCCAGAGAAGGGCAGAATACATTTGTAGCCCTGTGTTCGATTCTTTTAAATCAACAGTTTTTTTTTTTCAAGGCGGCACATGGAGTCAGTAATAAAATCTACACATATCACATATATTATTATGTTTTGTTGACTTCGATAGTGAACTATGGAGTACCTGCAATGCTACTTTATGAGTTGATTCTTTCATGGTGGGAATTTTTTTATTCAGGGTATAGTGAAGTTTGAAGTCGAAAATAACTGAACCAGAACTAATGACTGAGCATGAATTAAAATGAATGAAATTTGTTTTTTCTGTGACGGGAAAAAAGTTTGGCATTTCGTCTCTGTTGGCAGGTTACAAAATGACACTTTTCATAAATCACTTTTTTCCCGTGGAAAAAAAGTGAGTACTTCTTTCCTGGATCAATATCACATATTCATTCACACTGTTGATGACTTTTGTTGTGCTATAGTTCCGAAAGATGAGTCAATAATACCGTCTCCGAGAAAGAACTGATAGTCCTTTTATCTTCCATTCGACTTCGCGGTTACTTATATTACTAAGCAACCATTGAATTCGCAATTTTTTCAAATCAAATCACAGCATTAGACTGACAAAAGTGACATCAGATATTTCATTACTCCCTACTGTTAAAGAATTTCACGTCGATAATTTGCAAATTTCCAAATAATGTAATATCTTCTCAATATTGATTGGTCCTTTCTTCTGTCACCGAAAAAAATAGTGTGTTATACACGGGAAAAATATTAGATTTTAGCTCACGGTTTTTTGTCTCCCTCCCCTACGCGTCGGGAGACAACACAACCTGGAGCTGAAATCTACTTCTTTTTTCCCTTGTATAATAATAGTAGTAGATTTTAGCTCCAGGTTGTGTTGTCTCCCGACGCGTAGCGGAGGGAAACAACAAACCGTGAGCTAAAATCTAATATTTTTCCCGTGTATAATACACTATTTTTTTCTGTGACAGAAGAAAGGAAGAATCAATATTGAGAAGTTATTACATTATTTTGGAATCTGAAAATTATCGACGTGAAATTGTAAGTTCTTAACAGTAGGGACACCGCGTTGTAGGCATCTTTATCATTCATTTGAAGTAATCAAATATCTGATGTCACTTCTGTCAGTCTAATTCTGTGATTTGATTTCAACAAATTGCGCATTCATTGGTTGTTTAGTAATATACGTAACCGCGAAGTCGAATGGAAGATAAAAGGACTTGCAGTTCTTTCTCGGAGACGGTATTATTGACTCATTTTTCGGAACTATAGCACAACGAAAGCCATCAACAGTGTTTATATATGTGATATATATCCGGGAAAAAAGTACTCACTTTTTTCCCACGGGGAAAAAGTAATTTATGAAAAGTGACATTTTATAACCTGCCAACAGAGATGAATTGCCAAACTTTTTTCCCGTCACAGAAAAAATAACTATTTCTCACATATATGAAAACATATACCAATCGTAAAATAATATGAACGATCACAAAATCTATAATTGAAATCGACAAACCTTTATTTTCAGGTGAATTCGTCATTATAACTCATTTAAGTATAATAACTGTTATATGGTATCTTCTATGCTCATATGTACCGTCAGCAATGTAATAGTTTTTCCCCGTTATAATTATACATTGAATGAAAGTGAAACGCCCATATAAACATAAATAGGAATGTCATTATCACAAAAAGGGATGAATAATGATGAATTCAAATTTGGATACGAAGAATACGTATCGATTATCCATAAGTCAAAATATATTACATAAAAGTTTCTTGTTCCGCTGATATTCAGGCTAGGAGATTCAAACAAAGATTATTGCAGCATCATGTCCAGGAGTCGGCAGGAGGGTCATAACCTCTTCATGAACGTTCGAGTAGGATTGATCAAACATTGATTAAACTTTGCCTGAACTGATAAGGCAGCGAACGGTTCCCACTATCAATAATTTTTGTCATATCATCGCGTATGAATTATTGCTTTATCATTGGATCCGAACAGGAAAGATTTCACTCAGTGGCAGACCGTCGGCAAGCAAAAATGTTAGTCGTGTCGTTGATCACCTTCTGTTTTTTTCAAAGTGTTTTTGCCGGCACCTTGCCGAACGTTAAGATTGATGATGGGCTGCTCAGTGGAATCGTTCTGAGAACGAGGAACGACAGGGAGTTCAGTGCGTTCAAGGGAATTCCCTACGCGCGACCACCTGTTGGTGCGCTCAGATTCCAGGTAGGTCGAGAAATAGTACAGGGTGATTGACTATGGATTTCTCGAATTCAACAGCTGATATCTCGAAAACGAAAAAAGATATTCGAAATTTGGAAAAAGGTACTTGAATGAGATGTCATTTCCTTCTAGAAAATGTGTTCTCTGCTTGATTTTATCATTTCATATACAGGGTTCGTGAGAAATTTTTTTTTTTTCAAATGGAACTCCCTGTATATTATCGCATATTTCGAAAGAGCTATCTTTTTTGATTTCGAAGATATATACTTTTCATATATTCTATCGAGGGCTTGACGAAATATCAGCAAAATTAAATATTAATATTTGGTCCAAGTTAGCTATGGTTGAAATAGAATGAGATGATGAATAAGTGAATTGACATTTGGCCAACATTCCAGTGACATAAGTGCGCAAAATTTCGACAATTTTTTTCACGATGCCATATCCACTGGAACAAAGAAGAAATATTTTGGAGTGCTATTTTTCAGTTAATAAAAATCTTGCTGAAACACTTACACTTATACTTACTTATATTTAATCTTTCAGATATGACAAGACAAAATTCAATCCGCTTCTCATTATCATCATAATTGACTTTGTGGCATGGTCTTATTCTGAAATCCCTATATTTATATTTCTTTAAGGTATGTTGAACAAAATAATAGCTGAAACTCTCTCACTGCATTTCTTATTGACCGTGAAGGATCCTCAACAAAATACTGGATTACAAGAAGTTCCTCGTCTTCGTTGTCTTGCCTTCTCACTATTCTTTTGATATTCGACAAACTAGAAGTTCTGTCAAATTTAGCAGCCAAATACTTCACATAATTCTTACTTGGTAATCTCCTGCCTGGATAACTCCTCATAAACTTATGAAGTATTTCAGCAAGATTTTTATTAACTGAAAAATAGCACTCCAAAATATCTCTTCTTTGTTCCAGTGGATATGGCATCGTGAAAAAATTGTCGACATTTTGCGCACTTATGTCACTGGAATGTTGACCAAATGTCAATTCACTTATTCATCATCATATTCTCATTCTATTTCAACCATAGCTAACTTGGACCAAATATTGATATTTAATTTTGCTGATATTTCGTCAAGCACTCGATAGAATATATGAAAAGTATATATTTTCAAAATCAGGAAAGATAGCTCTTTCCAAATATGCGATAATATACAGGGGGATCCATTTGAAAAAAAAAATTTTTTTCACATACCCTGTATATGAAATGATAAAATCAAGCAGAAAACACATTTTCCAGAAGGAAATGACATCTCATTCAAGTAACTCTTTCTAAATTTCAAATATCTTTTTTCGTTTTCGAGATATCAGCTGTTGAAGTCGAGAAATCCATTACATTGTGCAACAAGTGAAGAAAGTTAAACTCTTTTCACGAGTGTGAAAGTTTGTGGCACGAGCCTGAAGGGCAAGTGATGCAAACATACGAGTCAGAAAATTGCTTGTCCCCACATGTTGCACACTATACTTTCTCTACAACTGCACTTATTCGAAGAATCCGGATAATGTACCTCATTGGTATTTATTTCATAATGTGGCACTATGTCACATTGAAGTATTTCAAGAAAGAACACCCTCCGAAAAATATAATATTTCTGTATTTTTTCAGATTCCATACATTTTTCGTATATGCCAATTCATACTTTCTTGTTTTTTGGTGTATGATGAATTTACATTCACCATACTGGGCGTGAAAAAAATTCTGATTTGAGACTCACGAATCTGTGATTAGAGGTCCATAAAAATGACGAGTTTCCATCGTTCATGTTTGAACCCCTCGATTGGGTATGAAAGTGTTGGAAAAGAATATTCTCAGATGAATTGTGAACATAAAAAATGGATATTTATATAAAGCAATATTCGCATTTTCCAAGTGATGAGAATATCAACTCTTTTCCAGTTTATTCAACAGAAAACGAAACCTTTCTTAGCTATATGCAACGATGAACATCGAATTATATCTATTGAACACACAGGAAGATAGTTTGAGAATGAAATGCGAGATCTTCTGAAATTGAGGATCTGCATTCTCTTACAGAAAAAACTATGTATATGCACACATCAATCTGAATATTGAACAAAAAACAACTACTTTCCTGGCTATATGCCACGTTGAACATTGAATTATATCTGATGAACATCCAACAGGAGAACATGAAAGATTGTAAATAAAATTTTCCGAAATTTAGAATTTACATTCTTTCTCAAATCGGATGAATAATCTGATGTATAATGATATAACTTACCAATATATTCAGCATTGAAATGAAAGTTGGAATGTATAGGAGAAGTATACTTGCCTAAACTCTATATAATATGAATGTCAAATTATCATAGACCCAGAAACAAAAACGTCCAGATGACAGGAATAGAATGTCAAAAAATTTTCTCAGATGTCATTTTGTGAAAGTTTTACTCGGTTTAAGTTGTATAATAGAGAGATGAAAATTGTGTTTATCATGGAGAATTGCTGTGAGAATAAGTGAACATCATGGTAACTGATGAGGGTTTAGAAATCCGAAATGAGTCAATTGCCATAAAGTCATATAACCTGTGTGTGAGAGATAATATTTCCCATATCACTGATATGAATGATTATTTTTGGAAGTCTTCAAGCTCATCAAGATCAGAGTTTACGCCAGTATACTCCTCGTGAACATTCCAATTTTCATTTCAATGCTGAATATATTGGTAAGTTATATTCATCCGATTTGAGGCAAAATGTCAATCCTCAATTTCGGAGAATTCAATTTCTTATTTTTCATGTTCTCCTCTTGGATGTTCATCAGATATGATTCAATGTTCGACGTGGCAAATAGCCAGGAAAGTTGTTGTTTTCTGTTGAATATTCAGAATGATGTGTGCATATACATATTTTTGTCTGGAGGAGAATGCAAATTCTCAATTCCAGATTTCCTATTTTATTTTCAAACTATCATCGTGTGTGTTCAATAGATATAATTCAATGTTCGTCGTGGCATATGCCAGGAAAGTAGTTGTTTTCTGATGAATAAACTGAGAAAGAGTTGATATTCTCATCACATAGAGAATACGAATTCTCAATGTATTGCTCTATTTTTATATATCCATAATTTATCTGAGAATATTCCTTTCGAACTCATACTTTTTCTTTCCGAAAACAAATCCAACTTTCGCAGCTTCTTCCATTATCTCTGTGTCTGGTGGTGTATTTAACAAAATCGTCACATCTCGGTATATACATCATATCATTTATTATGAATTGTTGGAATAATATTCGATGGAAAATGCGATTCTTATCATAAGCTCATAAGCACTAAGGAAAAGTACCCTAAAGAAAAAAGTGGCCGGTCCAAGCAAGCCAAGGACGGCTTGGTTGCTGGGCAGGGATCGCCAAGTCCTGCGCCTTCTTATAGGGATACTGACAGGGCATAACAGGTTACGCAGACACCTATCACTCATAGGTGTGGAAGATAGTCCCACTTGCCGTGAATGCGGAGAAGATGAGGAGACATCACTTCACTTCCTCGGAGAGTGTGAGGCGTATGGAAGGATGAGATTCGAAATCTTTGGAGTAGATAAACTACAACAGGAAGATTTGGTCGAATTAGAGTGGACGGACATCCTGACCTTCATCAGAAGGACAGGAAGGTTCGAAAAGGACAACTAAAAGAGGGATGTGTAGATATGTGGAGAGCAGGGGTTGGCAAAAAGGGCCCATGGGGGCCTACTTGCCTGGCTACAGCCTCCCCACAATACTACTACTACTACTACCCTAAAGCTGAACAGCAGCCAAGTTCTGGTCGATTTTTGTTGATTCTCCATGAAAATGTATGTGGTGTTAACAAAGTGCTGTGAGAAGGAATATTTCTCACAATATGAGCAATACATGGTTTTGAAACTATGTTATAGCTATGAGAAATGCGCTACTTTTCATAGCAGTTTTGGAAAGAAATATTTTTTTTACTAGCGTGCGGAAAAGTAACTTTTCCGCATTATTTTCACTTTTTCGCGTTATTTCCACATCTCCACAAGATTCTAAAGAAAATACCAGGAGACATGTGGTGAAAACTGTTGGCACCAGATCATACCCATAGCAACAGTCCCTATCTCAGATAGCACAGAACCGTCCCGAAAACGTCCTCAAGTCGTACACCTCGGGCATTGGAAACGTCCCCAGAACGTCCATTTTAGGTACGGCGTACGTTTTCAGGACGTTTTGGGGACATACGATGTTACACAACCAGAGGTCTCTAGGACGTACGATAAAGGTCCTGTTCAGGTCTGAACGGGACCATTAATACCTGGATCAACGTTGATCCACCTTTTTTCTACTCAAATAGTTAACATAGAGACCTAGATAGGTTAAAGAAATATTATTTTGACAAAAAAAAAAAATAATGTGCTACTACCGAGGATCGATCCCACGACCTTCAGATTACCGTGCAGATGCTCTACCTATTACTCTACAGAAAACTAAATTCGTTCTATCCTTCATTCAAGTGTTTGGGATCACCCAGTGCGCCCAGAAATATTATTTTGACAAAAAAAAATAAAATAATGTGCTACTACCGAGGATCGATCCCACGACCTTCAGATTACCGTGCAGATGCTCTACCTATTACTCTACAGAAAACTTGGTTATATGTCAGAGTATACAACAATATATTATGTGTGAATGTTGATTGATCCTTATTCACATCAATACTTGCATAGAATTAGATGATCATGGCAAAAAATACCTGAATAGATGTTTTGTGATCAGGTACGGCTAGTAAAAAAGAATTGTGAGAATTGTATTATGTTCATGTTTGCAAAGTTCCTAAATGAATAGATATCAGAGATCGAGGGAAGAATAAATCATGTGTAATGATTTCAATTGTTATTATATATATACAGTTTAATTCAATCTCGTCCCTTGAAAGTCGATAAAGTCCAGAGTTGTACGTACCCAGTACATCGTAATCGTACGTACCCAGTGCGCCCAGAAACGGACGTTTTAAGTACGTCTTGTAAAGGTCCCGGACGTTCAGACCTAAATCGGGCCTAAACTGGACGTCCTCAGGACGTCGAGTGCTATATGGGATGAAGTGATAGTAGTGGCAGTCAACAAATAAGCATTTCAAGCGTCATTTTACCGTGTACGTTATTCTAATCAAAAATAGACAACACAGGAAACTTTCAAGATCTTTTCCTGGAAATAATTGATGCAAACAGAAACCAATCAAATTGAAATAAGAAACGACGTTCTTCGAGATGTTGCGGCATCTGCTATATAACATAAATTACACCTTCAATTTCAATATTCATCATCGTAATGTTTTAGTTATTGTTATTCAAATGTTCTTCAAATCATATTCCTATTATGTCGATGACAAAAATCTATTTCATTATTCTTCAGAGCATAAAAATATCGTGCGAAAAAGTTACTTCATCGCACTAGTGCTGAAAATTTTCTCGCTCGCACGATTGTTTCATTGTCGGAATTAAGAAGATTTGGGACTGACTAAATGATTCTTGTATCTATTCTGTATTATGTGTCATTTCGTAGCATTACTATAAAATATGGTCCATTGAAAAACTTTTTTTTTCATGAATAATATGGACAGAAACAGTCATAGAAAAAATTTTGTATCTAACTCTTGCGGAAAATGTCGTTTTCGTCCTCGACGACTTGCTCGAAATCCGCTTCGCGTCGTTCGTGCAACTGTACGTGCGGAAAAGTACTACTTTCCGCACTTGTTAGGTGAATAACTATTGTCTACTCTCACTATCTGAGATTTCATATATTATCTCAGAGGTCTCTCAATTCACTAACCAGACATTTTTATTCCCTTCATTCAGTGAACCGCGCCGCCAGGCATGAATGCAAGAGAAGCTGATAGAAAAAGATGTTGAAAATATTCCTGAACCATCACGATTGATGACTCAAAGCATAACGAATATTTGTATATGACATACCTGAGATTTCTAAATATCGTACAGAAAATCAAAATTCATATTTGGTTCAGAAAAAAAAAACATCCCTGGCAACCAGATGACGTTTAAGTGACGTCTTTATACTTCAGTTCAATGAACAAGGTGACGTCTCATGACATGATTCATGACGTGAATAAGCCGCAGCCCAATCACGTCATATAACTCACATTGACGTGATCAACTCACCTACCGATGACGTTGTGATGACGTGAAGATGACTTGTAATTTGTTGAAGAAATGCGAAGAAGTTTCCAGAAACATTATTTGATAAACACCACTGACCTCTGATTATATGAAATATCAATGGTGCATTGTTGGGTCTGCCCTATGATGATCCTCCCGGTGTCATGTCCATTCAATCGTTCATTCAGCAGTGCGATGCTTGAGTACGCACCTGTATCAGGATTAGATCATTTACTCGTATTTGTATGAGAAATTATGCAGTTTGTGGCGAGATGTGAGCAAACCAAGAATAGTTTGATAGCAATGTTGAAGATGTTGGCTTATTGAGCTTCACTTTGTTAAGTGTCGAATATGCATGAATTCTTTGATACCCAACAAAAATCTAAATCGCAAATTTTCCACAAAACACTGTAGATTTCGATAATCTTCAAATGTCTCAACATGATGATCTTGTAGAATGGATTCACCACACCACAATTTGAAATGATATCTCAGGAAGTAACCGACATATTTCAATTATTGAAAAAATATATTAAACTTTGACCCCTCGTTGCTCCGCTACTGAACGAGATACGTCTTATGTTTATGCAATTTTTTTGTACTGTAATGATGAGATCTATTTCCCATTTCAGTTCGTGCCATGAAACAAGGATCATTCTGTATATCTATCTACTTTTTCCAAAAAGTTGGTAGCCTTTTAGTTCGTTAGAATCTCTGCTTCTTGATGGTTCCAAAGATATATTATATATTACTAGGGTGAATGTTTCCAGAAAATGCAGAGAAACGAAACTTGAATCCAGAATTTGCTCCAATCAGCATGTCCTATTTTGAGCTATTTATTGAAATGAACACTAATTACTCAAGAAACTTGAGATGATGAGAACATTGATGAACAATTCCGAATTCCTCCAACATTGAGATTGCAGAAAACATACGCAAATAATTGTTCTGTATAAAAAAGACAGGATTTGAGTTTTCATCTGAAGAAGGTGTCTGCTGCCTCGTTTTTTTTATGTTTTGACATTGATGTATACAGGGTGTAATTCAATTGATGTCTGGAAATACAGGATAGAGTTCCTCAGCTCATTTCAAGAAAAAAAGTTCATATGAACATATGCCATGAACCTCTCAATTTTTGAAATATAGGTTGTTGAAATTTTATTTCCTCTCTCTTGATCAAGAAAACTTCAACAATGTGAAGAATGTCAACGTAATCGATAAAAGGTCATTATTCAAGAAACGAAATAGGGCACTAGCCAATTAGTTCAGAAGAATTTCGTTATGCCACAAATGTATGGAAAAAGTTCCTATTTTTTTACGCTGAAACGGTTTGTCGGACGAAATGAATTTAGGAGGTTGATTGTTGCAAAATGAATGATGATCTCGAAAAATAGTTTTTTTCTCGGAAAAATCAAGGGCGTACAACTTTTTTTTTCCAGAATCTCCAGGATACATCCCAAAGGGACGTCACTGGTAGAAATATAAAAAAATCACCCGCATCAGAAAATGACTATTGGTGCTCAGTAGGTGCATGTTATTCTCCATAAAAATATCTAGAAAACTTTTGGAAATTATAATAAAAAAACGATTTAGGGCATATGTTCATATGAACTTCTCTATTTGAAATGACCTAAGTAACCATTTCCTTTATCTTCAGTCATCAATCGGATCACACCCTCCACATTTTTTTCAACGTCAGCAAATGGCAATTTCAAAGAACAAAGAGCTCATCCAATTATCTATATTACATTATCTGAGACTCAACAATCATCATAAAGGTCGAATGATATGACGATATTCCTTCAAGGATGTCCTGAATATAAATTATTTTGTTGAATCTGATGTTCCAGAATAATTTAGAACAATATTCGTCTGGGTAATTTTCATATGACAAGGGCACAAATATCAATTTTAAGCTAACTTCAGCCTCATGACGATTACCAGAAACAAAAATAGTCATTCGAATTCGAAATATGACTCTTTTGGTTTTCGAACATTCGATACTAACCTCAGTTCCAGAATTATGATATTGAATACCTCCATATTGGTTCAGATTATGAGGTTAGCATTAAGTGCTAATTGCAATAGAGTGTTTCAAATTCAACAGTATTGTAGGTATTTTCTCCATTGGTATTCCATATCTCATCGCTCATCACTTCATATCTGCATGTATGATTTCTTTAATACCGAATGTATCCGGACGATCAACAAAGTGAAGGTCAACTAATATCAAGTCAAACGTCCTGAAAGAGCTACTCAACCCAATAAAGTTCACTTATTTTATATCCGGAGAAGGTACGGTTGAGAACGTCGAGTCGTAGAGATACATGTTCACCTCTTCCATAATACTATTGCTCTAGAACACCCAATATATATATACAAGGTATTTTTCAAAAGTGTTGCTCTCATAAAAAAATGTTGTAATTTTGTTCAAAGGCAGAAATTAATTGATCATCATCGTCATTGTGGGGTCTAGTTTTCATTAACAACCTTGTTTTGTTCTAGCCTCCAGTGCCGGCAAACCAATGGCAAGGAACTTTCAACGCAACTGAAGATCATGGAGCTTGTCCACAGCAAGACGTCTTCTCAAGGTCATATGTCTACGAGGGAGAGGAAGACTGTTTATATTTGAATGTTTACAGTCCCAAGGTATGTAGGTAACTGTTTCAATGACAGATCCTGGATCGATGTTCTCCTAGGAACAATCGGTTGATGACACAAAGAATATGCTTAGTTTTTGAGTTCCGTACCTCGAAGAAAACACAGAGAAGGAAGATCACTCGTGTCTCCGTTCTTCTCATCGTTTGGAGCATACAAATCTTGATGCCCACCTTCCGCAGCTTCTCATTATTCTCATTGTCAATGGTTTCTCATCATCCTTGATTCGATACCAACATACTCCTCATAGATTTCCGCCATTTCCAGTTTCCAATGATTTCACCAGGATCATTACCAAAATATTCTTCACATACCCACTATTCACGAATTCTCACAATTTCTACCAGGTCCATTATCCTTCGAAAATCTTCCTTTCCCACTTCCACAGATTCTCATGAGGCCTATATTTCTCGAACTCTCAACATGTCATTCGATAGATTTTCACCATAGCCATCTTATAGTGCCCATCCTTCCACAGTTTCTAATCATTCCCATTGTCAATGGATTCTCATTATTCTTGATTCAAAATTATCGCACTTTCACTATAATTCCATCTCAATTACTTCCATCACAACACTTTACCAGAACTTGTGAGTCTATGGAATGGCAAAGCATTGAAATTCTTTGCCAATGGAAGTATTTCCAAGAACTCATAACCTCTAAAAGTTCGGGAAAAAATTTCAACACCTACCTCTTCTTCCCATCCTTCCTGGTACCCAGGATGTTCTTCAAACATTTCAGGAATTCCTCTTCGTGCGCTCCAAGAGATGAAAGAAAAATCGATCATCTCACTTTCATGGTTCTCCATCATATTTATCGATTTAAAATTTCATAATGAATGTACTCCAATGCTATAATTTGGAATGATGTGTTCGGTAACTCATCATCAAAATGTACTATCGACACATTGCACGAAGTTTCAGGGTGATGTATGTATGGATTAGTCCTGAAAGTTGTTACTAAGAACCTCAAGTTCCTGATTGATTTCTTAAATCCGAAAATTAAATTATATCGATATACCTTTTTTTGTCGTTTAGAAGGCTTCGGGTGATGCAAAAATCACTTATTCATTTTCCATATATTTCAGAAGCGTACATGAACCAGTCCAATGAATTGAATTTCCGTTTTGAAAATACTGCTTTTCTTGTGCCAATACACAAGAATTCTGGAGATGATATAAATATCCCTGATTATAGGGGTATCAGATAACTTTGTATTCTTAGGAGAGCTCTCGAGAGCATCTCATATGATGAAATTTTCGATAGTCTCTAACATATAATTCTGAAGAAACAATATGGATTCTTCGCGTAAAGATCTATTGACACCAATCTCATGATATTACATAGATGAAAACCCAAAGTCATCTCGACAACTTTCATTTAATGATCATGGTTCATATAAGGGAACATGTTTCGAGCTTATATAAGCCCATCATCAGCCAAGAAAATGTAAAGTTCTAAAAAAGGACAGATTTGACCTATGGTATGATACAATAATATTTAACTTACATGGAAGTGAAAAATGTTGCAATGTGTATACAATAAGCAATAACGGAGCAAGCAGAAGCCATGCTTATTGTATACACATTGCAACATTTTTCACTTCCATGTAAGTAAAATATTATTGTATCAGACCATAGGTCAAATCTGTCCTTTTTTAGAACTTCACATTTTCTTGGCTGATGATGGGCTTAGATAAGCCCGAAACATGTTCCCTTATATGATCTATGATCATTAAATAAAAGTTGTGGAGATGACTTTGGGTTTTCATTTATGAACTACACCACTCCACTTTGAGTTACCATGGACTTCTTCCAAAGATTACTCATGATATTAATTCAGATCGTATCTTACTCATTGGATAATCTTACTCAGACTGACTCTATATATACAGATTGATCATGATATTGTATTTATGAAACTTGCTGGAATTGTTTTGCATGGTGATATAGTGAGATGATTTTCATACTGTATATTCAATACATCTCATATCATGGAAATATATGAATGAATTTGATTCTGAGCCAATTATAGTTACCTTGGGAGTACCCCATTTTTTTTTCGAGGAAATGTTTCAGTATCAGTTTGGCTAGAAATCAGAAACCTTTGATGTTCAGAAACAATTGGAACGATTCATACTTGTAAAGAGAATCGTATATCAAGGACCTAGGAGTTGATTCTCATTCCAAGTTGACTTTTGTAATGCATATCGACAAATGCGATAGAATGTTTAATTGAAGGAGATTGCAGATGTTTTCGCTCTCGAAATTCGATGCCGATTTTGTTTCTTGAGTGTCATTTGGAGTCCCTGTTAGATTAATCTGAAAGAACGATTGGAGAGAATTTATGAAAAAATGTGAGGTTTCTGAATTTCAGAGAGAACAATTCACTCACTGTTAAGAATATCAACCAAACTAGACGTAGCTTCGGACTCATTACATCAGAACAACGTGAAATAATGTCAGATTCATCATTCGTCTACAAAATACTGAGGAATTACTATAACGTTTTCGTGTTCTTTTCATTCTTATTTTTGCATGAAACATCTAGACCCACAAGACTGAAAATATTTTCAAACGCCAATTTTTGTCCCATCAATCTGGGACTGAACTTGCCAATGAGTAGATTGAGTAACAACTTTGATAAATATCCCGACATCGTAGACATTTTATTGTACATGAATAAGTCAGTTCAAAACTATTATCAGAAAATACAACTTTTGATTTATTTCTATCGCTCTTCAATCCAAAGACGATGTTAGACATTCCATGCCTCTCGATCATTTGTTCTCGTTATTGTATTTGGTACTCCTTCCTTTCTTCCTTCCTTGTTTTTTTCAACGTCGGCCTTTTACTGCTACTGAGGCTGATCTCCGACGCCGGTGAGCACACTACCCCCAACCGTAAATTTTGCCGAATACTCTGGTGTACCAACCAGAGGTAGGGATCTTCAACGAGTCCAACAATTTCCTCTCCAAAGGACGGCATATCCGTACCATATCTTGTGCTCATCAACATGGTAGCTGTAGCTATGATATGCTATTCCGCTAGAGATGTACGGGCTTAAGCGGTGTTTTCTCTAATGGTCACCCATCCAAGTACTAACCGTGCTTGACACTGCTCAACTTCAGATATCGAACAGCTAGTGCCATGACCTGAGAAGCTAGGGCGGTGGTTCTCAATAATCATGAGGATTGTATTGTGAATATTATGGGCATTTCGACCAGAGGATGCAGTATTGGGCTTCGGCATGTTTGAATTCTATTGTGATTAAATGAATGAATACAAAAATGAATCAAATTTTTATGTAATGTCCTCCAAACTATACATCACGGAATCTCACCATATATAATCATAATATGAGTTCGAAGGCCGAAAACCGTCATCACCAAATATTTCATCAATGTTCAAAGTTTACATAAACATTTCCTGTGCTGCTGTAAATGTAAACGCAATGAATTTGTTAGTGTTGTTGATTGTTCTATTCCTCAAAATTAGTACAACCCCCTACCAAAAATGAGACGAATGAATTTTATTTTGTTGCCGAACAGTGTATGTTTAGGAAAAGCTACCTATAAATGTTGTGCTTATGATTATAAGCCAACTAGTATGAAGATATCTTGCTGGATTACTTATGAGGACCCTTAAACATTCTGGATTCTTGAAAGTAGTACTTCAGTGGACCTTATTCTGAGAAATTATATCAGAAATACTATATCTACCTTCACAATTGAATAAACATCTCTCGGAACCCCACCGAAATGAATCATTCAAACTATCTTGAATTGACGTAATAGTTGAGTCATCTGGTAGTTTTACCTAGAAAGTTTTCCAGGAGTTTTGAAAATTGGTGTTTCGATAGATTTCGACGTGCTTTTTTCGAATGTTCACTTTGCCACCTCGTATCTCTGCCGCTTGCCCCGCCATATTGAAAAATGGCGCCCAAAAACAGTTTTTTCATCCTAATCCTAATCATTTGAAAATGATAATTGTTATGTGATAAATTGAACCAGAGTAAATTTCCTTCAGTTTATGTAGTATTTTTTTCGTGTAGAATTGATAGTATCAGCGTACTAGCGCCGCGAAGTCTAATACAACACGCGTATCAGCGAAAAAACTCATTTCCACACCATCATGAGGTAGAGTAAGTTTCGCGTTTATTTTTGTGGTATCCCCAGTAGGCCTTATCCACATGTATTACACTAATGATGACATTTAGTGCATTCTCCTTCGCTTCGTCATCCCTGATGGACCAGGTTTTGCGAGTTCATCGTCTTCAGACCCGAGCAAAACGCCACAGACAGAAATATCATCCACGTTTTCAGTAATAGCGTTATCAGCTTCGAAGTTATCAACTTCTTCCACGATCTCGTCATAGGTTCGCTCGAGAACAGTCTCAGTTTCTTCCTCTTCATCACTATCTTGTAGAGAAAATCACAAATTCTCACATGTACCATTACAATTCGTGCAAATAACGGAGCACTTCAATCCAGCCTTCTTGCACCCACCACACCCAAAGGCTCCTCGACATCCCCTATTGCATTTGCAAGAAATGAGTTTCAACAAGGTTCCCGGAGCTGGCAGTTCGAGTGTGGTAACAGGAATCAGCACATTCTCTGTTTTTTTTTCAATCTCGATCGCTCTGCATTTTGATTCAATCCATAACACTGCTGCACCTGGTGATAGGTTCAGAACAAATGTTGTCGTGCTGCTGCTTCTGTCGGTGGCAGTGATGCAATATCCAACTTCTTCTTATATGCTGATTTTATGAAGCATCTGTATCTTTTAGTTGTTCAACGACATACTTTTTGCCCCACTGTGACCGTACAATGCAAGGAGGCAGCGTTCTTCAGCTCCAGCAATGATATCTGGGTCGACATTCTGGTTTTCAAATACCTGGACAACCTCGATTAAATCTGGGATTATTCGGAGTACATTTATACATTTCATTTTCCCGTGACTGAAGAGTGCCGATGTTGTATCACAGCCACTGAAGGCATGTGAGAATAAAATATCATCTGCAACTGTTTTATGTTTCATTCTTATTGTTGAATATATTTGTTGCACAATTTTGTCTCTTCCGGGTTTGAGAATGAATATGTTCGAACGCGTAGATAAAGTCGTCAAAATAATGAGCAAATCTACACCTTCGCCGACAGCTATTTCGGAATCAGATGTACGTAAAACGCTGACTGTCGTATTGATGATTAGCGTATCTGCATCTTCCGTGGCTTGCTTGACCATGAAGTTCGCAGCTTCAAATTTTCACTGCACGTCCCTTTATACCTGTGACAGACCATAGTAGGCCGGTTTATACACACACGTGTGTGTGTGGAGCACCAGCTATACGCGTATTCCCTATAGCATGCTCTCAATATACGGAATACGTGTGTTCGTGTACATGTGTGTTGGTTGGCGGCATTCGTACGCTGGAACTATCAATTTCACAAAAAAAAGATAACAGAAGAAATTGTCGGAAATTTTCACTAGTTCAATCCAACACATAACTATTCTCATCATAAAATGAATAGGAGAAGAGATATCGTCGAAAAACTGTTTGTGGGCGCCATTTTTCCAATATGGCGGCACGAGCGGCAAAGATACGAGGTGGCAAAGTGAAAATTCGAGAAGACCACGTCGGAATCTACAATAATAAAACGATTCTCAAAGCTCTCGGAAAACTTTTCAGATAACCTCCTTTTTATGCACCAAATAACTGAACTATAAATGACATAATGAATATTCCGCAGCTATCTGATTTCGAGAAGGACCCTCTACCGGTAATGGTATTCATCCACGGGGGCGGCTACATGAGCGGATGTGGCAACTCTCACTGGTACGGCCCTGACTTGCTACTTGACAAAGATGTAGTTCTCGTCGTTCTCAATTACAGATTAGGTGAGAATCCATGAGAAATAACGAACGGATCATCAATATTAATATTCAGTTACTCTATGTTCAAAATGGGTGTCCGGAAATTATCTGCAGAAAATCAACAGTGTGATTCTACATGATGGAATAAGATAATCTTTTGTATGTACGTGGGTCCGAAAATACATAGTTTTCAACATACAGTGTGTCGATCTTGAAGAAAATAGTTTTTTTATGAAACTCTTGAATGTCCTTTCACCGGTTTATTTGAATTTGGCAATGCTATTCCTCGTTATAAGGGGCTTATTAAACTATAATGTCCGGCAATTATCTGCAAAAAATCAACAGTGTCATTCTACATGATGAAATAAGATGATCTTTTGTATGTACGTTGGTCCGAAAATACATAGTTTTCAACATACAGTGTGTCGAACTTGAAGAAAATAGTTTTTTTATGAAAATCTTGAATGTCCTTTTACCGGTTTATTGGAATTTGGCAATGCTATTCCTCGTTAGGGGCTTATCAAACTATAATCGCATTTCGAAATATCAAATTCAGAGACGTCCCTAGGGGCAACCTTCCGAATATTGATTCCAATGAAATGTTCGTTACTGATTTATTTGAATCATTTCCCTCTATTAACTATCATCCGATTAAACAAACGATATTTCGGTCTGTTGAATTGTATTGATATTCTGCTCCATTTCCATAGAAAGAAATGAATAACAATTCAATCCACAAACTTGTGCCGAAAATTTCAAAACTGGGGTGGAAATGAACGCGTTATTTATGTCCATAGACATAGAATGAGAATAGAGATTCAATTTCTTCACATATTCGATGATACATGATTGACACACTCTACACTGTAAAGTGAGTAATATGTATTCTTGGTCCAGGAATGCGGAGCTTTCAGAAATACAAAGTGTGTCAAACATATGTATGGGACGACACTGGAACTCACAATTTCAATACAATTTTTGTTCAACCAGCCCTTTATGATGAAGAATATCATTGCCAAATTCCATGAAAATTGGTGGGAGGATATTTGAGATATACATAAAAAAACGATTAGTTTTCGAAAGTTGAACACATTGTATCTTGCAAACTATGCATTTCCAGACCCACGTATATATGAAATGAATCCAATTTCACTTCATGCAGAATCATTTCGTTGATTTGTTGCGCATGATCTCCTGACACGCTATATAGGTGATACTCTTACTAAAAATAGTGAGAAGAGTATAAGATGTATAATTCGTTCTCAAGGTATAACTCGCTTTTCTCTTTAATTAATTAATTAGGGTTTACAAATTTTTCAAAGAATTTTTTTACAGTTTTCAAATATGTATAACATGAATATGGTAGGATGTCAATCCACAATATGAACTAACAGATCCAAGAAACGTGAAATAAAGGAAACCTATCTCTTGAGTTAATCGAGGAGGTGAAACATTCATTTCACGAAACGTCCAAAGCTTAGTGAGAATTTGATACATTTTCGATATATCTAGAAGAGGAACGATTCATGAAACGTATAATAGAAGACAAGACGAGATGAAAGAATCCATTATTTCTACATCGAAATAAAACAGAGGGTATAATTATGACACTGGTCCATTCACTATAGAACGAATATTTTTGTTTCATTCTGTTTCACCTCAATACACGGTGTCCCAGAATGATATTCATATACTCCGGGAGGCGATTCTACAGATGGAAATAATTGAAAACCCTCTTATTAACATTTATCCGAAAGTACCTACTTTCCAAGACCGCTCCAGCTATTCGAATGTAGAGCATCAAACGGAGTTCAAATCTAGTATTTTCGTTTCCATATATCATATCAATCTCATCGTACCATGGACATTTAGTCGAATCACCCTTAGGGCCTTAACTTCCTGGTTCTAGGACTAATGCTGACAAATTGAATGAAAAAAATAGGCGTCATGGACTTACCTCCAAACGGCTTCAGTGCCCTCATATATAAAATATTTTTGAACACATGTTGATAGGAAAATGTTCCCTTATTTTTATCTGCACAGACGTTCACAGATCGAAAACTGCTGTTCAACATATCGAATTAAATGTGATTTTTCCTAAAAGAACTCAACCAACACTGATCTGTTTTCTTCCGTCATAGGTGCCCTCGGATTCTTGAGTACTGGTGACGAAGTCGCACCTGGAAACAACGGCATGAAAGACCAAGTTCTGGCCCTAAAATGGGTGCAGAGGAATATCGCCAAATTTGGCGGAAATCCAAACAGCGTCACAATTTTTGGCGAATCCGCCGGTGGTGCCAGCGTACATTTTCACATGATGTCGCCACTCAGTAGAGGTAAGAGTCCCTACTCAGATTCGTTTGTTTTTGCATCATGAGTTCATACATACAGGGTGGGTAGCCAGCCATAGCCTGATGGTAGATAGAGGTAGTCAAGGTGAGTTGATATATTTGTGGAAATATATATTTTGCCTATTCGTGAGAGAAATACAGAGCAATATTTGAATTCGGGGCGAACACGGAAAAAGGGAATTGTTGAATCAAGCAAAATTTAATTGAATGAAGTGTCATATATGCACGACAAAATATGATCTTGGGATGAATAAATCTATAATCTTGTTTCAGAGCGAATTTGAAGTTTGAATTGAGTAAATATGTCTTGTATGAACTCAGGATCCTAGGCTCAAACAATCATATCGTTCGATTCAAAATAACAAGATATTGATTCGATCAAATATTTAGTTGATTCAATCAAATATTTGGTTGATTCAAAGAAATAGATGGTTAATTCAATGAAATATTTCGTTGATTCAATGAAATATTTCGTTGATTCAAGAAAAATTGTATTTTCATTCGACAAATTGTTTTGTTGAATGAAATTCAGTATTAATTCGGGAGTTTTCTGAAATTTCACATAAAAAGAATAATCTTAAGTTAGATTAATCGAGTCGAAATGATCGCCATCTGAAGGCGAAAATGTAACTTGATATGGAATGAACAAAATATTTCATTGATATTCTCGTTGCTCTATTCAAGCAAATGATCCGTTCGAAACGAGTTCATTGCTACATCGGAATAAGAGAACTTGTATGTTGTTTCAGAAATAAATTCTCATCAAAATGATCATTATTTCATCAGATCAACAAAATGTTTATAGTTGAATCAACATCGGCATCATTATGGATCGAAATAATTTGTTCTTGGGAAAACCATATATTTTGTTGATGGAATTGATATTATACTGTTGATTCAATAAGACTACATTCTCGATTTGAACAAGCTGCTCTCATGAAATAATCATGTATCAGGTTGATTCAACGAAAAATTGCTAAGTTCAATCATCAATTGGTTGATGCAAACAATCCTTTTTTTCCGTGAAACTTTGATGAACGATATTTCAGGAACGTCTAGATATTATCGTCTGAAATTCATCAGCAACTAACCTTCACTGACACACCACAAGATGATCAACTATGTTGGAAACTCCCAGAACCGGACTTGGAGAACTCATTTTCTTTTTAAATGTCAAAATTTCGACTTTCTGAGACGTTTTCGTCAAGAACTTTCATCAGAATCAGAAAGATCAGGAGAAATAATACAAGTATAACTCTTCAATTTGTACAGCACACTTCCACCGGATTGGTGAGAAAATATCGATCAAAATGCTGATGAACGATTCCATGATTTCGTTAAAACAATACGAGTATAACTCTTCAAAAAAACAATGCCTACCCCCTTTCCCTATCCGATGTTCTTAGAACATTATTGGAAAGTCCTTCTGTGCGCTCCAAGAGATAAGGAGATGTGAAACATTAATGCTTTGGTGAAATATTTTTTTCGAATCAGATAAACGTACCAACTCATACTACAATCAGCGAATAAAATTGTGAGTTTGGTGTTTCAATTATCCAGAGAAAACTACAAAAGAATATTGTGATGGATGTATGAAAATGAACATGAATAGGTTTATTTTCTTGACAGGATAGAGCGCCTCCACATTACTCAATACAAGTGAGAGAATACCTAGACAAACAATTCTCTATAATCGCTAAATAGCTCCTTGCGACCCTCATTCTTGGACGTCTAGGTCCCCTTACCTCACAATATTAGACAATTGTCTATCTATGAAAGTATTGGTATATCAGACTGAAATCAACACCAAAAAGGAACTGAGGAAGAGGACTATTACAGATTTGAATATGATCAGAAATAATAGGAAACTCATTCGAAAAACCATAAGAGATCTTCCGAAGATATGCAGAAAATGTATAGAAATTGCAGAAGATCACATTCCGAGAATTTCCGTTGAAAAATATTGGGACATATGAACTAATAATATTGCTCGGAATTTATAATGTTTTGTGATTTTTTCTAGAAACCAAGTCTGGTCCTGATATTTTATAAATACCCTTGATCAACTCTGCTGCTATATCAATATGCAGAAAAACTGATTCGAATACTTTCAGTCGAATGTAGAGAGTGATGGCCCGGACGAAATCGAAGAAATATTTGTCTGAATTTTGTTTGATATTTTTTCACCAATCCGGTGGAAGTGTGTCGTGAAAATTGAAAAGCTACACTCGTAGTGTTTTTCCTGATCTTTCTGATTCTGATGAAAGTTTCTCAAGAAAGTAGTTTTTTTCGATTGAATAAACTGAAAAAGAGTAGATATTCTCATCACATAGAGAATGCGAATTCTCAATGTATTGCTCCATATAAATATATATCCATTTTTGTATGTCCATAATTCATCTGAGAATATTTTTTTTCAACACTTTCATACCCAATCAGGGGGTTCAAACTTGAACGATGGAAACTTGTGATTTTTATAGACCTCTAATCGCAGATTCGTGATAGAGTCTCAATTCAGAATTTCTTTCCACGCCCTGTATGAGACCCAAAAGTAGAGAGTCGGAATCTTAAAATCTAAAGAGAACATGAGTTTTCCAAGTCCGGCTCTAAT